GTTAAACAAAGTAGGGGAAAGATATATTTTATTAAAATGAAAGAACTAATTAGACATCAGAGGGACTCGACAGATGCATAATGAGGTAGGGACTGAATCTTACCTTTTTTTTGGCTAAGCGGGAGTTACATTGAGTTTTTTGGAAGGATTCTTGCTGTGACTCCCAGCAGGGTTTCTCACCATATCTTACCAAACACACCTCATTAACTACCTACCCTGCTCCATGATGCTCCTCAGGTTCGATTCTATCTCTGTATTACCACACATCATTCCCAGGACTCTCCCACTCAGCAGATGTCCGCCAAAAGACTGGCATTTCTTGTACCGTCACCACCTTTGAAAGGCTGTTGCGCACCCAGACAAATGTTGGCAATCTAGTGTTGTCCCTCACCAGCAACATAACGGCATTGAAGCCTCACTGTCCATGGCACAGGGCCAGCATGGCTGACACCTCCTCACACATACATTTTCTTACCTTAGTCTCTGTCTAACCCACACGCCATACGGTTTACTTGTCCTTAGATACTTTCTGTTTAAGCACCTTCTCCAAGTAACTGCTTTGTCCCCAGTGCTCACTGGACACCCACATCATCTGTTGTCCAGTACGGTGACATTATACATAAAGAGAGGCAATCTTAACAATTCCAAAGATGAGCTTTTAGTGACCGCCAGTAACAGAAAACACAAACAAGCCAAGTTGAGGCTGCAGTTCACTCCCACAATGCAAACCAATTGCTGGCATCATTGCCAATGTCTGTTTGACAGTCCCTGATAGTCTCTGTATCCCAGGGGTCATTGACTGATGAGACTATAGTTATCTTTATTCTGTGACTATGAGTTAGGTCTAGAAAGCTTAAAAATCAGATTTCCAGAATTGGACTTTGTGAGGTTAAAAGATTAGACGGGTGAAACTTAATGCAAACCAATGCAAAGTGATGTTTTTGGGAGGAAGAAAAAGGTCATTTTTATTCGTTGAATGAGGGCAACACTGGCTATGTAAGCATTTATTGCCCATCCCTAAGTTAAGAGTCAACCACATTGCTGTGGGTCTGGAGACACATGTAGGCCAGACCAGGTAAGGATGGCAGTTTCCCTCCGTAAAGGGCATTAGTGAACCAGATGGGGTTTTCCCAACAATTGACAATGGTTTCACGGTTATCATCAGACTCTTAATTCCAGATTTTTAAAATTGAATTCAAATTCCACATTCAGCTACGGTGGGATTTGAATCCAGGTCCCCAGAATATTATCTGGGTTTCTGGATTAACAATCCAGTGGTAACACCACTAAGCCAACACCTCTCATTAAATTTCAGAGCATGCATATACAATATATCTTGTAAAAAACTTTAAAAGCACTACAGTACAAGTAAGTATAACAGCTTTGAAATCACATGTTATCCTTAGAATCTGAACCATAGGTTAGAGTTCCTGTAAGCTTGAACTGGTGAGTTAGTTCCAGCACTCTGCATGGTCATTGCTTTATTTATTGAACATACAACGAGTACACCAAATCCAGCTATCCAAAGACCAACAGTGTTTGAAATCTGGACATTTTTATCATCTTCCATGCATCAATTAATTGACCAAAATTTAAATCAAAACTTTCCTGGGCAATTCGGCGAGATATTGTGTTTGGCACACTGTATCTCCAGCTACATTACCAGCTTCACAAGCCAAGGCACCCAAAGCTCCAAGTGACCCTTGACCCCATCAGCTGAGCTTGGTCTAAACTCCCCAAAACCCAAACCAAGACCAAGAAATATGTGCGATATGACTTGGCCTCAATCTCAATGTCAGGCACCATACCTGAATTTCACCCCATGGCAATGTGAGGGTTCATGCACCCATTAATATTTTGTTAACTTTTCTTTCTCACTCTAAGTCATAGATTTTTGCTAAAATTTACATTTCAACTGAATGCTCAGTTAAATCTCAAACTAAATTGTTAAGTCAACTTATTTATTTTTTAAAATTTATTTTACTACTTTTATTCTAAGACGACTGTAGTGCCGAACTTTTTAACTTATTTATTTTTATATTTCTGTAACTTAAGAATATATACCTAGGTACTTTGTACCTAAGATGGCATCATGTGTGGCTACATTGTACACTTTTCACTGTACTCTTGTACCCCGTACTTGAGTACGCGTACAATAAAGCTTAAATCTAAATCTATTTATTTTTGAAAATAACTAGTGTTCACAAAATATAGCAATCAACAGCAAAGCACCAAAGTCTTCACTTTTTAAATTAAATCAAAATGAAGCCTGTTGAAAGATTGTCGAAAAATACCCTAACACATCATTTTGTTGCATATTTATTTCTATAGAGAGGGTTTAAATCACATTTAATGTTATAATACCATGAAGCTGGATCTCCTGCAACTTATTACTTTGACTTTTTCTTCTGTGAAGCATCACATGTAGGGACGAGTATGGAAATATAGCAGAAGAGAAAGGAGTTGGAAAAAACCCAATGCTTCAAAACAAGCAATGGCTGAAGTATTATATGGAATTATATTAAGACTAATTCATAGAGAAATCCAATGAGACTCATGGTAGAACATTATACAAGAAATACAACAAGCAGATTGGTGTCTTGCTGTCTGCTGACCTCCTGATCTTCATCGTGAAGGCATAGAAACAAGGAATTATCATTAACCAGCTCAGGTACAACTGGCCTCCTTCTGTATCATTCTACATGACTCCATCGTTTCAACACTTTGAGCTGAATTTTATCAAAATACAGAAAATAGGAGCAGGAATAGACCTTTCAGCCCTTCAAGCCTGCTCCATTATTCAATACGACCATGGCAGGTCATTTAACTCAGTCCCCTATTCCTGTTTTCTCCCCATACCCTTTGATCCTTTTAACCCCAAGAACTACATCTAATTCTCTCCTGAAGACACTCCATGTTTTAGTCTCCATCACTTTCTGTGTTAGTGAATTCCACAGGATCCCCACTCTCTGTGTGAAGAAATTCCTCCTCATCTCAGTCCTAAATGGCGTACCCCTTAGTCCTTAGACTGTAACCCCTGGTTCTGGACTCCCTGGTCATTGGGAACATCCTTCCTGCATTTAACTTGTCTAGTTCTATTGGAATTTTACAGGTTTCTATGAGATGTCCCCCTTATTCCAGTGACCCAGAGTTCTGAAGAAGGGTAACTGGACCCAAAATGCCAACTCTCCTTTCTCTCCACTGATGCTGCCAGACCTGCTGAGTTTCTCCAGCAATTTCTGCTTTGCATCCAGCCATATAAATGCTGTGGCTACAACAGTAGGTCAGAGCCTGGAAAATCTGTACTGAGTAGCTCACCAACTGATTCCCCATTGACTGACCACCATCAATGAGGCACAAATCAGGAGTGTGATGGCATATCCTCCACTTGTCTGGATGAGAACAGTTCCAACAACACTCAACAAACCAGACCATCCAGGACAACGCAGTCTACGTGGGGAGACCCTACCCACCACCTTCAATGTTCACTCCATCTGCCAGCAATGTACAATGGGTATTGTGTATCATCCATAAGATACAATGCAGTAACTCACCCATGATCTTCCAACTGCAACACCCAAACTCAGAATCTCTTCCACTGTGAAGATCAAAGGGTGCAAATGCATGGGAAGCTCCAATCAGAAGATGTCCTCCAAGCCTCACATTATCTGACTCGAATTAAATCATAAAATCTTTGATCCTTCACTGCCATGCGGTCCCAAACCTACCCACATCGACTACAGCAGTTCACTACCTTCTTCTCAAGGGCAAATAGGGATGGAGAATAAATGTTGGCCTCATCAGCCACATCGTTAAAGGAATAACAGCAAATATAAATCTAAAAACACATAAACACACAGTCAAAAATGGTTAGAGAATTAAAAGGAGCCCGAGTATCTATATTTTCTTCCTGTAATTATTGATCGTGTTCTCAGGGTATTGGTAACTGCTTGACAATTAATTGACTGTAGTCAATGCTTCTGTTTGTTTTGTTTTGAATGAATTGTTAATTTCCACATTAAACTATAACTGCTCCCCCACTAATACCAATAACAGAAAATCTACACTTGGCAGCCAATTTTCAAACACAGATGTCCCACAAGCAGCCACATGAGATGAATGACCCTGAAAACAAAAAATGCTGGAGATCACAGCTTGTCAGGCAGCATCTATGGAGAGACAGCAAGCTCACGTTTCAAGTCTAGATAACTCTTCATCAGAGCTGATGTGAAGTGTGGAGGGGGGCAGCATTTATGCAATAGTTGTGGGGTGTGGACGAGTGCTGGAGGAGAAAGGATGATGGCTGTTCAGACTAAGTGATTGGAATGTGAGAATGGCAAAACAATGGTGTGTCTAATTGCCAGACTGGAAATAACAGACAGACCCTCAGGGTGGGGGAAGGAGAGAGATGACAAAGTAACAAGTAAAGGTAAAAGAAAGGGAAAGAGTGGGAGTGAGTTCACAATCTGAAGGTGCTGAACTTAATATTAAGTCTAGAAGGTTGTAAGGTGCCTAGTCTGAAGATGAGATGTTGTTTCTCCAGTTTGCACTGCGATTCACCAGTGCAATACAGCATGTCAAGCACAGGCACATGGGCATGAGAGCAGGACGCTGTGTTAAAATGACCAGCTACGGGAAAGTCAGGTTCATGCTTGTGCAGGGACCCTGTATGACCATGATAATTTATACAAGTGATTTGTTTGTTGACGCAAAACACCAGATCTCTTGTATCTCTTTCCTGTGCATTCGAACAGGGTGCAACCTTCATTATCTCTTCAAAAGCCAACACCGCCAGCAATACAGCGTTGTCTCCGAAGCGTATGGATGTGTTAGCTCAAATTATGTAATTAAATCTTAGAATCAACTTTCACTTATAATCAGTGCAATTTTCTCAGAAGCTATTAATCCAATCAGACGCCTATGTAATGTTAAACAAAACACAATCTATTGATTGCAGATAAGAAATTTTATTCAAAATAATACCAATATGAAATTGTTACCTGGACTGGAAACTCTGTCACGATATTTGGGTGTATATTCATCCAGCATCTGAAGCATAACCCACATGGTGAAACTGAACAGACCAGCTAGGAAGCCGTAAAAGACCAGATAAAACAGAAAAATCAAAGCTGCACAAAAAGGAAGAAGAAAAAGTTAGCATTTATTTCCAAATGTCTTTCATTTCCTCCCATAATGGCTTTACCAAACACACTCTATATGTTATCATACATGTTGGAGTATGAATGGTGAGATACTGGCTCAGTAGTTACTAACTTACCGATGTACCAGCCATTGCCTAGCGTATCTTCCCACAACACAATATTGTAGCACCGAGTTCTGTACTTTGAGGGGGGGAAAGGGAATGAAGGAAGGAAGGGGAAAAAAAGGGAGGGAAGGAAGGAAGAGAAGGAAGGAAGAAAGAAATGAAGAAAGGTTAGAAAGAAAACAACGAAATAAAGGGAAATAAAGGAAAGGAAGGAAGGAAATTTAAAGAACTCTTCCACAACTCTTCATCTTTGTGCTGAACCCCTGCGAAAATCCATAGCACTCTCACTCTCCCAAAAGGCTGGTACCTCCCACTGCTTCAAATCATTTTCCAAAATTCCCTGAAAAGATGCAGTCCTTCTGTGTCAGCTATTCTCCTGGAAAAATATTCCCTGCTCCAACAACCCTCGGCAGTAAAAGAAATGTCCTTCATGTCATTCTGCACTCAGTAAGAGTCTTTCATTTTTCATTGACTCTGTAAAATATATCCCTACTCAGCCTAACAAAACTACTAATAATATTTAAAAACGTTTTTGAAATATCCTCTGTTCCAGCAGGAATGGTCCCAGAATTATTTAATTACAGTTTTGGGATACTATGTCCAATTTATACAGTACGCTGCTGGCTTAGTCTGCTCTGCCATTTGATCATGACTGATGTGTTTCTCAACCCCATTTTCCTGCCTTCTCCCTGTAACCTTTGATCCCCTTAACAATCAAGAAACCTATCTATCTCTGTCTTAAATACACTAATGACCTGGCCTCCTCAGCCCTCTGTGGCAATGAGCGCCACAGATTCACCGCCCTCTAGCTGAAGAAATTCCTCATCTCAGCTCTAAAGGATTGCCCCTTCACACTGAGGCTGTGCGCCCAGGCCCTAGACTCACCTACAAGTGGAAACATTTTCTCCATGTCTACTCTATCCAGGCCTCTCAATTTTCTGTTAGTTTAATCAGACTCCCCCCTCATCCTTCGAAACTCCATCAAGTACAGACCCAGAGTCCTCAACTATTCCTCATATGATAAGCCCCTCATCCCCAGGACCATTCTTGTAAACTTTCTCTAGACCCCCTGTGATTACAGCCTTATACAGCCTCAGCAGTACATCTCTACTCTTGCATTCTAGCCTTCTCGAAATTAATGCTAACATTGCAATTGCCTGCCTAACTGCCAACTGAACCTGCATGTTAAACTTAAGAAAATCCTGAACTAATTGGCCAAATGGCATAATTCTGCACCTACATATTATGATCTATGATTTGATCTATCCACCAACTGTACTTTCAGGGAATCAAGTATATGAGTTCTTATGTATCTCTATCCATTCACACTCTTCAGGGATTCACTCTCTCGAGTGTTTGGTCTCAGTCTTTGCTTTTCTCTCCCAAAATGTAGGGCTTTGCACACACCCATATTAAATATTGCCTACTTCCCTGCTCTGCTCTGGTAGCCATGTTCCTATCACCTAAATAAATACATATTTATGAAAGTTATGGGTTTTAGGTTTTGAAGCCAGAGCACATTTGCTGTACCCTACAAACTGCTGGGGTCCTCAATGATTCTGCCAAATTGACTAGATCAAGGAGAAGTAAAATATAGAGAACCTGATTCAAATGCCAGCCTTGATGAATGTACATAGAAACAGAAAACAGGAACAGGAGTAGGCCATTCAGCCCTCTAATCCTGCTCCCCCATTCAATATGATCATGGCTGATCATCCAGCTCAGTCCCCTGTTCTCATTTTCCCCTCATACCCTTTGATTCCTTTAGCCCTAAGGGGTACACGTAATTCTTTCTTCAATGGTCTGGCCTCAACCGCTTTCTGTGGCAGAGAAATCCACAGGCTCACCACTCTCTAGGTGAAGACGTTTCTCCTCATCTCAGTCCGAAATGTTCTAACCTCATCTCCTTAGTCTGTAACTCCTGGTTCTGAACTTCCCAGTCATTGGGAACATCCTTCCTGACTTTACCCTGTCTAGTCCTGTTAGAATTTTACAGGTTTCTATGAGATCCCCATCATTCTTCCAACTCCAGTGAATTAAGGAAGTGAATTAATTCCGTGAAATTAATAATTTAGAAGCAGGAGTGTGATTGTTTGGGATAACCATTACAAGATTACAGAACTTTTGAAGCAAGTGAAAGCAATTTCAGAAAATTTAACAAGTCCTGATCTTCTACACCTTATGACTCTCATATTTCCATCCACAGAAGACTGGTACATTTATATTAGTTATTTGTTCTACTTTAAGATTTCAATCCATAAAAGATTACAGATAAAGAAAGTTTAAGGTCAGATTCAGTTATCAAATGCAACTATTTCTTGACCAACACAGATATTTTGTCCCCTGCTCCCTTGGTGGAAGGGATACTAAGATTTCGATTTTGATTTTGATATTATTGTCAGGGATACCAAAATACAGTGAAAAGCTTTGTTTACGAGCAGTACAGGCAGATCACAGCAAGTAAAGTATGTACAGATCAAGAAGGCTTAGAGGTATACAGGGTTACATTGCAGGTTACATTATTTGAGGCTAAGTTGCCATACCAGGCCGTTATGCACCCGGACATTATGCTTTCAATGGTGTATCTGTTGGTGAGGCAGGCTGACAATAAGCTCTCTGTGGCACAATAACAAACATTGTTCCTTTTGCCAACATGACACAATTCAGAAATCTCAATCAAATCCACGGTTTCCCTCCCAGGATTATCAAAGCAATGGCTGTAACTCAGCAACCTATACACTAACAAGAAAAAAACTTGCTTTCCTCTCATTATATTTGCATTTTTACTAAGTTACACTAAAACATACAGCTGAAAGAAACTAATGCTGTAGTAATTCATGGAAATGGTTAACGAACATTGAAGGTATTACTATTTCATAAACTGAATTTCAAATTCCAAGTTTCTGGAGTGGTTCTGTCTAAATCCACTACAATCTAAACAATCTTGATAAAAAATGCATTCATGGATAATTTTGCTCACATTCTAGTATAAAGTATGAATAGAGTAAGAACATTTGCAATTTTTGAACATCAGTGAAATTTAATAAAGTAAACTTTTCATAAAATATCTGTTTGTTGGGATTAGAGATTGTGTCAGTTTGTGATCTTTACACTGACAAGAATATGAGTGATCCAGAAAATATCCAAAAAAAGACAACCCTGTAACTCAGATGATTTAACTATAAAGAAAATGATGAGGAACAATCTCATCAGGACCAGTAAAAGGAAAAGGGAAAGAGATACAAAGAAAAATAGAAGATTGTTTCTGCAGAAACAGGAACATAAAACTGATCAACTATGTTAAGTTTAGGAAATCAAGGGTTTGCTGCAACTCACAGTTTAAATTTATTCTTATCAAGATATGGAGCAATTCAAAGGGCTCAATGGCTTATTCCAGCTCCCAATTTGGTTATGTGTGTGTAAAATTAAAGTTGTGAATGCACTGAGCAAATATCACCGCACAAAACAAATGCAGGATGTACAGACTCTTTAGAGAAGAATAATAAACACGCTCCTTAGGACACAGCAAGGATTTATCACAGGATTAAAAAAGGACCCAAAGTTAAATAAAAGCAGCACAATAAAATTCCCTTTCAAAGCATCTTCTGTTAAAATGTTAGATCATGAGGTTCGAGTATTTCAAATATTAATTTAACACTGACATCTACTTTTAAAAACACGACTATTGAGTTTATTTTCCATCAAAAAATGTACATTAAATTCTTCACCAAATTAGCTTATACACTAGAGTCACTAAATTAGAGCAGCTAATTTTCTGTAAGGATATATTCACAGTAAACTAATCAACTTCTTGTGGCATTACATATAGGAAGACAAAAGCAAGCTGGAGCTTTCAGATTAAATTAGAGGATTTGGATAATTGAAGCAACTAGCGCAACTAGTCCCCATCTCAAGTTGAGAAATTGTCTTTATTTTTAAAGAATTTAATTTTATATTATGGTTACATGATAAAGTTAACACTAATTCATGGTGCAGAGACAGTGAGGTGTTTGGAGTATAGGAGTTTCCATGTAGGAGAGCCTCTGGACCGGAGATATATAAAACCAAGGCACTACAGTGCCATCACTAGTGAAGAATGTATAATTGCAGTTTTCATATGCTGCATTCATGACAAATATGATGATGATCAGAGGATTAGATAGGGTGGACAGTGGGAGCCTTTTCCCTCGGATGGTGATGGCTAGCACGAGGGGACATAGCTTTAAATTGAGGGGTGATAGACATAGGACAGATGTCAGAGGTAGGTTCTTTACTCAGAGAGTAGTAAGGGCGTGGAATGCCCTGCCTGCAAAAATAGTAGACTCGCCAACTTTAAGGGCATTTAAATGGTCATTGGATAAACATATGGATGATAATGGAATAGTTTAGGTTCGATGGGCTTCAGATTGGTTTCACAGGTCGGCGCAACATCGAGGGCCGAAGGGCCTGTACTGCGCTGTAATGTTCTATGTTCTATGTTCTAATATGCTACTCAGAATTTATAAATGAAAAAGTTGACATAAAAGTGCAACCAAAGTATCAAGATGCAAAGCTATTAAAGATAGATATGGTATTGAGCTGTAGAGCTGGATGAACACAGCAG